ACACCCGTGTGCAGCACACCCGATACTCACGCGCCCGGACAAGACGGGATTGCGCTAAAATAGTGACGTGTGCTGGTCTGCCCAGGACATCCCGACTGACCTGTCCCCTCTTTCCCCATGGGTACATGGTGGGGAAGCAGAGGACAGATGGGTGGCGATCAGAATCCTGAAAGATGCAACAGCAAACCCGTAATGCCAGAGGGTGAAATCCAAAAAGATCAAAATCCCTGTAGTCTAAAATCCCCAAAATCACAATCCAAAAAGATCAAAATCCTGAATATATAATTCTGAAAAAATTTAAAAAAAAATTATTTGAGACATGTATTTACATTTTAAAAGGGATTTATCTGACAAACATATAAAAACACGACAGAACTCTTTCCAGGCCACGTAACACAATAAAGTCAGCGGTGACGACATACGTATTTTTGCGAGCGGAAACCCTCAGGTGTGTTAAGGACAGTCACACAGGTGTGACGGCTGTGAGCAGATGAACCGTATTCATAAAGAAACAGGCAGAAGCAAGACGTATAAACACACGCCGCTGTGGCTGGAAACTGTGCCCGGCTCCGTAACTGCCATCGTCTGAAACACCGTGAGGACAACCTGAGAAGCCGCGATGCGTCACACCAATGTGCAGCCGCCCTACGGGCCGAGGCCGCCACAGGTTCTACCTTTCACAAATGCAGACGGACAGAAAGGGCATTTCTTTGTTTATGGAGGAAGTTTCAACGTTTGTACATATGCACAAGAGCCTGCACGTGAAGTCGGCCTCGTGACAATGCACTTTCACAGTCAAACGTGCAAGAACTGCATAAAACCCATGAAGACTCTGCAAGCCTTTACACGGTGTGCAGCTCCAGTGCTGGAGACGACGCGGAGACTAAACACACAGCACAGCGAGTTGTAAGAAAATAATGATGACGGTTTAAAATAGTGCGGAAAAAAATGTTAAAAAGAATACTCGATATATGACAAAGCGTGTCACAGGGACAGGTGGGGGCGACTGCACAGAGGTGGGCCGCAAGAGCGGGCGACGTCCGCCGTCAGCCGCACATTCTGATGCCTCGGTCGATCAGTAGCTGCTCTTCTTCTCTCAGGGCCTGGCTGTCCCAGGGGGCGTGTTCGTGTCCTTCTCTACGTGGTGCTGCTGCTGTTGAAACTCTCCTGGGATTCAGCACAGTGACGCGAGTGTTCCCTGTTAGGTTTCCCGTCTTCTGTGCCATCTTTGCACTATTTCAACATTCAGGATTTTAGTATTTCAGGATTGTGATTTTCAGGATTTTACATTAGGGATTTAGGGACTTTTGATCCTTAGGGATTTTCATCTTTCAGGATCTCAGCGTCAGGGATTATGGCTCAAATCCCAGGAGGACCTGCCAGTCGGGCCGTGCTCATATCTGTGCAAGCATGTGCACGTGCACAAGGACAGTTGTCACCTTGGGTGAGTTTCCTGGGGCTGCCATAACAGTGCCACAGACCGGACGGCTTCAACCGCAGGAATTCATTGTCTCACGGCTCAGGAGGCTGGGAGTCTGGGATCCAGGAGCCGGCAGGCCTGGTTCTTCTGTGGCTGTGAGGAGCATCCGCCCCGGGCTCTGCCTTCATTTTAACATGGTGTTCTCTCCATGTGTCTGTGTCCAAGTTTTCCCTTTTGATTTGTTAGGGCTCACCCTCCTCCAGCGTGACCTCCTCTTACCTAGTTACATCTACAATGACCCTATTTCGAAATTCTCCGACCTACCTTAATCTGATTGGGGTCACACTGGGAACGGGGTCAGATTCCCATTCCAGAAGGGGTCCTGCCCCGTGCCCTGGAGGAAGGAGGCTGCACAGAGCGGCCGGGAAGAGCCTGAGCAGACGCCTCGCTGGGCTTCCCCGTCCAGGCTGTTAGTGTTGGGACAGACCCTTGTCCACTCACATTTCTACACGCTCGTCCACGCTTCAGTCCTGCCTACGCAATGAAGCTTCCATAAAAGCCCAAGAGAACTGGGCTCGGGGGGCTTCCGGATGCTGAACAGTGGAGGTTCCTGGAGGGTGGTGCCCGGGGAGGGCATGGAAGCTCTGCGCCCGTCCCCACACCTCGCCCTGTGTGTCTCTCCATCTGTGTCCACTGTAATATCCTGTATGTAAACCAGTGAACAGAAGCATGTCCCTGAGTTCCGTGAGCTGCTCTAGTAAATTAATCAAATCTGAGGAGTGGGCCACGGCACCCCGATTTATAGCTGGTTGGTCAGAAGCACGGGCAAAATCACCTGAAGCTTGCGACTGGCACTGGAAGTGGCTGGGGCAGTCTTGGTGACTGAGGCCTCTGCCTGTGGGATCTGATGCTATTACCAGGTAGATCGTGTCAAAATTTATTTGAATTAGAGGACACCCAGCTGCTGTCTGCTGCAGACTGCTTGCTGGTGGGGAGAAATCCCCCCACATTTGGCCACAGATGTCTTCTGTGTTGACTGTTGCTGAGTACGAGTATAGGAAAAACACCCTGGTTTGTTTATTCCCATATATACAGAGACGTGCACCTTGAAATCAGGCAAGATTGCACTGGAGCTGCAGCCACCGCCCACAGCTCAGGGGCCTGGGGCAGGCGACCTGGCCCCTCTGTGCCTCCTTCCCCATCCATGCCTGCCTCCCGGGGCTGCGGAGGCCACCAGATGCAGAAGGGCAGTGCTCAGTGCATGACGGTTATGATTTGTCAACCCTTAATCTGCACACTCTGGATAGTGACACCCTCAGAGCAGAAGGTGGATTCCTCACACTTGGGGAGGGTGGCCAAGGCAGGGGACACACATGGCCGGCTGGCCCTGCTGCTGTGTGACCTTGGGAAAATGGTCAGTGGCCCCTTCCTGCTTTTTTCTTTTTTAAGTTTAAGTTTTTTATTTAAACCACCTTCTGCAAAAACAAAGGGATGGAAAACCAGTACATTGGTCATCATTTGATGCAAGTAAAGAAGGCGAGCTAAGGGCCGTACGCTATTCTGGCCCGTGTACAGAGGAATGACCCAAGCCAGTGCCGTGGTCCCTGGTGCCTGCACGGTGGTCTGGGTTCTCTTTATTTGTCTTCACAGCCAGTTGGAAGCATGTTCACAGCAGGGTTATGGAGTAGAGTGTGGTTGTCGTCTCCCCAGGGAAGGGCTTGGCCCGACGCGGAGCTGGGGGTAGGTGATGAATTCAGGTCTCTCGCGCTGTCCGTGGTGCGACTTTAGGAAAACATTCAGCACGCTCCCTCCCACCCCGGGGAGCGCGACAAAGTAGGTGAAGGCCTTCCACATGCGAGCTGAGCCCTCCTTGCCATGGGTGCCACTCAACACAGGCAGCCCTTGCTGTGGGAGGGACTGACCAGCAGCCGAGAAACTCGGGATACCCCCCACTGCCACCATTTTTTGACCTGGATCCCCCTTCCTACTCTTGAAGAGTCCCAGGAGTTAGTGGGAAGCCCCCTGGAGAAACAGCAACAACTTCATGGAACTCAGAGGCCTGAGCAGACAGGTGGATCCAGGGCACCGCGGAACAGCAGCTCCTGGGGAGTGGGCTCTGCTTGGGGCCTGGGGTCTGAGGTCAGAGGGCTGGGGGCCTGGGACTTGGGACCGCCTCTGCTGTCCAGGAAGCAGAATGGGGACAGAGCAGGTGGCAGCCTGTGGATGGGAATGGGACTGGGGGAAGACGGTGAGGAAGCAGTGGGGAGGGGGAAGGGAGGATGGAGCTGGGTGGATGGAGCTGGGGCCCCAAGGAGCTTAGTGGCCCAGCCCGGAGGCACAATCTAGAAATCCAGACCAACCTGATGAAGGCCCAGCACTGCTGGTAGGGCCAGGTGGGAGAGGGAGGGAGTGGCCAGGACTGGGGGCAGTCTCTGCCCACCTCCAGGGTCAAGGATCTCTGGGCCAGCAGAGGCCCCTTCTGGAGCAGGTGGAACCCGTGTGCCCATCCCTGCACCTGTCCCACCCCTGGTGGTTCCTAGTTCCTGACTCACTAGATCCGAGGTTGCCCCCACCCCTCTCCTTTTCCTCTTGCGACTACCTCCCGATCTGTGGTGTCTTATCCGAGGAAGAGGATGGACCCTGTTGTCCTGGCTGGTCAAGGGGCAGTGGCCGTCAAGTCTGCTCAGAGGACACCAGACAACCCCAGCTCCCTTGACCAGGCACTGCTGGAAAGGCTTGGCCCAGTGTGGTCCATCTGAGCTGGGAGTCTGGGAGTAGGGGTCTCCAGAGGCCTGGGGGCCAGGCTTGGCTCAGTGTCAGACCAGCCCAGGGACTCACGCTCCCCAGCGCCACCCTCCTTCCTGCTGTCACCACTGCCCACCAGGCTGAGACCCCAGGACTGGGCCCTCGGATACTCCACCCCAGAGATGGGTCCACCAGCTGCTTTGGGGACACACAGGCGACGACTCCTTCCCGGTCCGGTGCTAGGGCTCCCCCTGGCGGCCACCCACGGCAGCACGCAGTGCTGCCAGCAGAGGGCTCCAAAGGCATCCTCCAAGGTAGGGCTCAGGTGAGCTCAGGTGGACACTGGACCGTGTCAGGTGCTCCTCGCAGAGAGGGTGAAGGTGCGGCCACTGATGCCGCCTCAGGTGACTTGTCAGCTGGGTTCTGTGGGCCCGACACCCTCTTCTTGGGCGCTCAATCGGCTTGGGGCTAAGCTCTCCAAATCCGGTTTTGGCCAGGCCCCTGTGACTCACGCCCCTTCCTGGCTTGCCCCCAGCTCTGGCTCCCCAGCCCTCCCACTTAGGTACGTGTCCAGCAAGGGCCACAGCGAGAGCCAAGGGCAGGGGCCTTCTCTCAGCCCTTCACCTCCCAGGAATGTTCTCGGGTCCTCTCCAATGGGTGTGGGGGGATACGGTTTCCTGGTCTCCCTCCAGGCTCAGTGAGTGAGCAGCCTGCCTTTGAACGTCCACAGCCCGGCCTTATCGTGGCCTGTCCTCTGCCCCACAGCCCTTAGGAAAGGCACAGTTTGGGGAAGGGGGTGTTCCAGGACCCGCCCCTGCCCACAGACACACATAGCTGCTAAAAGACTTGATTTAATGACAGCCTTGGCTCCTCCACCACCTCTCATCTCTGGGGTGTGACTCAGTCCAAGACTCTGGGACCCACCAGCCACCTGCACAGCTTGGCTAGCTTGAGACTTGGGTAGAGAAAGTTCCTGTTCTGGGTTCCATAGGGTGGGGTGAAGAGTATCTGAAATCAGTACTAGTGTCCAGTCCATCCTCGGTCCTTGAAAGGGTGAAGGGGTACATAGCACGTGCCTGGGGCTCCTCCCAGGCGGCCCTCAGAAGCAGCACGCTGGGTGGGTGCAGGTCACCAGCCTGGCCAGCACGGAGCCCCAACCCATCCTGGGTTGTGGGGGAGCAGTCGGGTGCAGGTGGATGTCGAAGCAGGTGGAGATAGGGGTCAGCGTCATGGGGTCTGGGAAGCCAGAAGAGGCCCCACCCACCTCCTGGGGAATTCTGTGGCCTCGGGGGTGCGGGGAGCAGGCAGATGAGGGGCTGGCATCGCCAGGCCACAGGTTTGGCTGAGGTTGACCTTGGTGTGGGCAGGTGGGTGTGGGCTGGGGTGGCAGAGAGGCCCCCTGCAGTGTCGCTGGGCCTGAGGGCAGGCCACGTGCCCCCGGCAGGTGAGCCGTCCCCCCAACACCACACCCCTCTACGTCCTTGGTACAAAATACATACACATGTAAAAGTAACGCTCCGTGCACTGCGGGTGGGCCGGGCACCCTCGCGCGGCCGGGTCTAGCTGTTTTCTACCCTCCTCTGGTTCTTGGAGTGAAACTTGCTCATGAGCTCCTCCAGCTCCGATCCGCTCTGCACGTCCTTGGTACAAAATACATACACATGTAAAAATAACGCTCCGTGCACTGCGGGTGGGCCGGGCACCCTCGCGCGGCCGGGTCTAGCTGTTTTCCACCCTCCTCTGGTTCTTGGAGTGAAACTTGCTCATGAGCTCCTCCAGCTCCGATCCGCTCTGCTGCTTCTAGGGAGGGGGCGGCAGCCTCAGCCTGGGCTGGGGCCGCCGCGCGCAGGGGCCGGGCTCAGGGGGCGGCCTCACCTCCAGGACGGCCTTCTGCACGGTGAGCTGGCTGTACACGCGCGCGCCCTCCTCCCCGCACACCTTCCGCAGCTCGTCCTTGTTCAGCGAGAAGAGCTGCGGCCCGGTCAGGATGCCCAGGCTCTCCACGACCCTGGGGGGCCGGGGACAGGCGGGTGTCAGGGCG